ACACACACACACCCACACACACACACACACACACACACACACACACACAGAGAGAGAGAAAGGGAGATAAAACACAACTAGTAAAAGGAAAATATTCGCGTTGAAGGAAAAAGGATAGAGGGACTTAAGGACTCGGCTTGAGTTGGGTGCACGCTGGCGTCCACTAAATCCAATGGGGATATTTTCGCATGCATTCCACATGGACTACATATAAATATAGATATTTCATATAAAGTTATGTACGTCTGCCTCTCTGCCTGCCTGTCGGTTCGTATAGGTGTATTCTATTTTGCGATTGAGCTGTCCAAATGCGCCTTTTAATGTAATCTCTTACGGATTTGTTTTGACAAGCGACACACTCCCACCTCTCGCCCACAGTGGTAGACTGTGTGGTTTCCTGGGTACAGCGTGTAGTTATGTGTTATGGGGATGCTTGGACATATCTATATATATATATCTATATATGTATGTATATATATTTGGTTGCTGTTCATGTCCCATCATAAATATTCGATTACTCAGGCGCATCTAATTTGCTTTATTATATTTCCCAAAAAAGTTCCTTGTTTTTTATATACATTTTTATTAAACGCAGCTCAGAATGAGGTGGGTGAAATGAGCCTGTCAAGCGCTTCAATTGCTGCCTCAAATCTCATAAGCATCAACATGAAATTAATAAAAAAAGAGGCAGATATAGGAAAGGCTAAACAAGAATCTTATATGTATTTTTACTTTGTTTTAATAATACTAAAAATATACTAAATATCTTTTTAAACTAGCTGCATATATTTCCTTCCGGAATTAAAGGATTTCTTCATATAAAACTATTAAAATTTATTCTGTGTACTTTCTTCAACAAAATATATCTTAACATGTTATGTAACTTATACATTAACTTTACACATGTTATATAACATACGCAACATATGTTAAATAGCATATATGTATTACTCAACATATGTTATGTAACATATACATAATACTTAACATAAGTTATATAACATGTACTATTTCCACAGATATCTCTGAGATAAATGTATGATATATAAGTATTTCCAAACTTCCAATTTCTTCTTTTACATATAATATATAACATATGTTATATGAATATTATGTATATACATATATAAGTGAATAGGCTTGACTGTTTAACGCAACACGTCGCATTTACTTGGCACGTACTTTCACTCCCTTTGCTCACGCTCTTTGCCATATAAGCCCTCTCTCTCTCTCTCTCTCTCTCTCTCTCTCGCTCTGTTTCTCACACCAATTCATTTGTGGAGCCAACTATGATATGTAAATATTGGGGTAGCGTCAAGTGGATTTTTCCCATAGGAAAATAACTGAACGTTTCGCCATACGGAGGCGCTGATGCGAATGTGAATGTGGATGTGGTAGAGGACTGAGCACATAGAGGCGGATAGCTGAGGACGGTGGATGGCGAATGGAAGTGAAGCGCTGTTGAGGTGGACCTGCGGTTGCAGTTGCAACTGGGAAGCCTGCTGACTCTGAGCAAATTCCACTTTGGCACTGGCAATGCGATTTACATATTACTAGGAGAGTCTGCTTTGAATAAACTCGCTTGCACGGCCCCAGTACTCGGCTTTATCTCTGCCTGCTCCTCCCGCTCTCCCCATCTCCCCATGCCATACCGCCCACACCTCTGTCACACTCTTTCTAACTATGCAATTGCCGTCTCTTTCGCTTTCTGTGTGTCTGTGCGTGCGTGTGTGTGCATGTGTGTGTGTGTGTGTGTGTGTGTGTGCAGTTTTTAAATTTGCAAACATGAGCATGTAAATTTGCAATGAATAAATTAACCAGAATCTGTAGCGCTCATCCTTATGTGCTCGGCTAAAATCCAAGAGCAACTGTCATGCGAGGCGTGTGCGTTGCTTTGCGCCGTTGCTCAACACTTTCGCTATTTATTTAAAACAAATTGGCAGCACTGCTCGAGTGAGGTTAGGGCAGACGGCTTTAAGTCAAATTGCGCTCAGTTTTAATCACTTTTTATTACGCCTGTCCTTGGGACGTTCAAAGTGGAAGAAATCACTCAGCCTCAGGCGGTCCGCAGTCTGACAGCCTATCTGCCCCTCTCTCTCACTCTCACTCTCTCTCTCTCTCTTTCACTCGCACACTCGGTGTCTGTCTGTCTAGCTATCTCACTCTCATTGTGGCGAAAAACAATCACGTGGCAGCAGATAGACAGGCCTCGCAGGCTGAAAACAACTCTTTTTGTTTTTGTTTTTGCAACATCAACAATAAAAAAAGAATATACAGCTGGAGACAGATCCAGATGGGGAAAAAAGCGTCAGCGGCAGCCACGGCGACAGCTTCACTGCCACGACGACTTAACATAGAGACAGACGGAGGGTAAGAGATACAGAGAGAGAGAGAGAGAGAGGATGCTGGATAAAGTTCCTAGCCAGCCGCAACGACAGCCAGCGCCAGAGATGTCGACGAGCGGTGAACAGGACGACGACAACAGGACAAAAACAAGTGCAAAACAAAAAATGAAGTAGGGAAAAAGAAACGAACACAACGAGCCGAGAAAACTCAATTAAACTTTTGTAATTACAGCTAAAACGGAAGAAGATATTTATCCAGTATAATTGCATTGAAGGCAAATGAAATAAAAGTATAAAAAAGAAGGAGAAGAGAGCGAAGAGAAAACAAGAAATGGCTGGGCAACCAAAACCCGGACAAGAAAATAAATAAATAAAGGATGCCGGGAGACAAAAACACGACAACTCTGGTCGCCAGGTGAAACGCCGGCTTCACCATCTACCCGCCATCTCCAGCACCGCGGCATCCCAATAGCCAGTCGTAAGCCGGTGCACGCCTGCTCTCCGGTCAAGCGACGCCGCAAGTGCCACTTGACACATCTGCAGCGGGAAAGGAAGAGCGCAAAATATCATCATCCTCATCTCTGCTACGTCTCCTTTCGCGTCCTCCTCCTTGGCCTCGTCCGGGTCATCGTCGTGCACCAGTTCACATCCAAACGCCGAGAATTGTGCTGATTCCACTTGTATAGTCTCTCTCTCTCTCTCTCTGTCTCTCTCTCACTTTCTCTGCCTTGCTTCCACTCTTTCGCCTCTACCTCTCTCTCTCCCTCTCTCTCTCTCGTGGCTGTATACCAAGAACAATGCATCAAATCTGATGCAACAGATCGCTGCAACAGATGAGAATGCCTCCAGAGAGAGAAGGAGAGAGAGAGGGAGAAAGCGCGGGGAAGAAAGACAATGAAAGTGAGAAAGTTTAGCGCGACGCAACAAATCCTTTAGCTAACATTCTAGCTTATCGCGTTTCGCATTTGTTTCATTTCGCTCTTGGAAAACTCTTGCAAATAGGAATTAAAAAAGTTTATGTTTCATTCCATTGTAACGGGGCTGGTTGATTGATTTATGGCTACATTCATTGTTCTATGCTAGTTTTATTTAAATGCCCAACATAAATTTAACTAAAATCTGTTACAATTCAGTGTTCCATGTACTGTCGTCTCCTAGGTGTGTAGGTGTTTATTGTATATACCCGATTGAAGAAAAATAATACAAGTTTCATTCATTCCAAGTATTCCACGACTAATTATCATTGCAAGACTTCAAAGGTAAGAGAAAGTGCTCCATGTTTCATCTCATCCCATGTTTCATTCTCTTCGATTCCACCTAAGACATCCATGCTAAACTTGCTATACTAAGGGCTCGCTCCATTCGTCCTGAACTTTCCTTGAATTGTATTATGTGTTTCATTCGATTCGTGCTGCATTTAATTTCCATCGCTCCAATCAAACTGATCTATGCATATTCCACCTGTTTCACGTCTAACGTAGCTTAAATTGTATTGTAGTACACCGCTGTTTCATTCCAGTCATTTCCATGAGAAAGCTGCTTTACGAATTCAGCTGATATTTTAAAGACACTGTTTCATTCCATCTGTTTCGCAGCCAACTTCCCGTGAATTGTAATATAAATGTTTCGCCCCCTCTGTTCAAATCGCATTGTGAATTGTGCTATGTTTCATTTCCACCGTTCCCCAGCAGCCCCACTGGTATTTTAAATATATCTGGCAATGGTCTCCTCATGAATACGATACATCCCATAGTCCTCGACAACTGCCACCTCAATCTGATCGGGGGTCAAGTCCTTTGGGCCCGTTAGGGCCTGGACTGCCAACGATACTCCGTCTTCGGCATCCATGGACTTCTTGAAGTGCTTGTCCAGGAAGAGCGTGCGCTCCTCCATTTGCCTGCCGGCGGCGCAGGCCTTGTAGGGCGTATGGCTGCCAGCGGAATCCAGGAAGTAGAGCTGGCCGTGTTCATCATCATCCCAGCCGGCGAGCAGCACGAATAAGCCGAAGGGACGCACTCCTGTCGTCTGGGTCAGCTGCTGCATGGAAGCGGTCAGGGATTGCATTAGACACTCCATATGCCATGAGCCGCCGTGAAGGAGCTCGAATTCTGAAACCGTCTTGCGGAACAGCTTGGTGACGATACGAAAGTCGGGAAACAGGCCTGAAAAGGTTATGCCCGTGGTGGGGCCGATTTGTTGCACCTTCTCCACCGAATCGCCGATGGCATATTTCATTTTAAACCTCTTCTGGGTGGCCAACACCACGCCGTCTAGGGTCACAACGCCCACAGCCGGCTCACCCTTCCTGGCACAGTTGTTGGCATAGTCCACCTGCAGTAGCTCCCCGAATGGATTGAATGTGCACATCGAAAAGACAGATTGACTGAATTCACCCGAAGAAGACATTATATGCAATTATTACAAAATATATGTTTTTGACGAGAATCGAATCGTTTCGTATGCTTGACTGAGCCTATCGAATATGATTTTCCCATGTGTACAAATGTGACAAGCAAGACACGCCTACTTGCTCTAGGCGACATTTCGTTTTCATATATGTTTATTTCTTTACTTATTAGAGATTGATGTAAAGAAATATCTACATTTCCTGAAGAGAATGCGGAGGTCCTGTGGATAAGAATTATCCCTTATCGCGGTACTCAAGCTCAATTTAAGTAGAGCTTCATTTAAGTTATGTTAAAGTCAAATCAAGTTCAAGTGAACTTCAATCTGAGTTTAACTTAAAGTTCAGTAATATTCAAGTTAACTTCAAGTTAGGTTTCTGTTAATCGGAGTTTAAGCTAAGTTCAAACTAAGTTAAAGTTAACTTAGTCAAGTTCAGGTTAAAGTAGTTGCAAGTTAAGTTTAAGTTAATTTGATCAAGCTCAAGTGAAGTTCAAGTCAAGTCAATGTTAACTCCGAGTTAAGTTACTGTATGACTTTATAAAAAAGTCAAGGAAAACAGAGAAATCAGTCTTACGATTTAGGTTTATTTATGTCTAAGATCGAAATCAGTCAAGGCCAATCAAATATTTCAACTTCTCATTCAGCTTTGATTTCAGTTCTCAGTACTCCACAGAGCAAAGCCGCTGTAAACATTTATCGCACACATTCTTAGAGCTCTGCTTAAGGTAAGACAAAAAGAGCTTCAACACTTTCCATTCCCAATCCTTTCATCAGTCAATCAGTCCTCACAGTTCTCTCAGCAATCGCGACACGGTTGCTCGTATCATGGCTAGGACTCAACTTGATTAGTGAACTTGAAGAGCTTGCAGATGAAATACTACAAAATGACCTGAAAATGTTGCCACCCAGAGCCAGCTCCCTCTCTCTCTTTCTGTTCCCTCTTCCCTCTCAATAGTTGCACTGTTTTGGTGACCTTTGTCGCTCGTATACAAATTGTCGCCTCTGTTTGTCCGTTGATGAAGACATTAATTTGATGCAAATCGCGTCAGCCCGACACACAATCGAAGTGCTAATTGCGCTTCTTTCAATACAGAGCACAAGTACCACCTCGCTTCCAGTTCCACTTCCATTTCCACCTCCATTTCCACCTCCATTTCCACCTGCACTTCACTTCCTACGCTCTCTAAGCCCTATTCAAACAGTCAGCCAATCGCCAGCTGCAGCCCCAAAAATGGCAGCAACAGTAGCTTCATTATCTACAGCAGCAGCAGCAGCATCATCATCATCATCATCATCATCATTGGCATCGTCATTAGGCAGACGAGGCGGAACAGGAACTGCTGCAGGTAAATGCAACAGGCGTGGCAGCAGGAGCAGCAGAGGCCAGAGGGCCAGTCACATTGCTACAGAGCTCTGGTTCGGGTCCACTTCATTATGTATGCGCGACACAGACAATGGGCCACTGATGGACGTGCTGCAATTGCTGCAGCAGCAGGAGCAGGAGCAGGAGCCGTGGCATCAACAGTCGTCCCTGGGCACCGCAAACATAGAAGGCAGCCATCTAGCGGAATCTGAGCTGCAACTGTCGACCCTCGCCCTCAATGTATAAAATGTTTTGTAAATCTGAAACGCTTGTCTCTGGCATGCACCTGTATGTTAGTATGTGTGTGCGTGTGTCTGTGTGTGTGCCTTAACCAACACCTGGCACATAAGCTGATGTGCAATGGAGTCAAATTGCGGAGCATGTGACGCCAGTTTATCTATTTGGCCGCCTGACCAGCTTGTTAAGTTTTTGCACAGCACACGCACACAGCTGGCACACCTGACACACCTGACGCACAGCTGACACACCTGCTGGCACACCTGCTGCCAGTTGGCTTTCAAGAGCCGCTCCGACCACAAATCGAAACCCGGTCTGTGCAAATGAATGCCCGCCGCAGCAGCAACAGCAGCAGGAGCAGCAGCAGGAGCAGGAGCTACTGGAGCCACACAGCCAGGCAAGCTGGCAGGCAGCCTCAAGTGCTCCGAAAGATGTTGGCCAAATTACAGCTGCTCGACTTTCAGCAGGTCCAGCAGGTCCTTTCGGGCCCTTTCCCTTCCTGCCAGCCGCCGTTCTCCATTGACAAAGCAGGCCGTGCAGCCTGTAATCCAATGTGGTCCTCGGACCATAAACGCCCATCTCTCCACTCATTTATCGACGCTAGCGACTGGCAACTGGCAACTGGCAACTGGAACTGGCAGATTGGATTTGTGAACGCAATTTTGCGTTAACATAGCATTAATTTAATGCAATTTTGCTATCTGGCTTTTAGGCTGGACCTTGATCGCTGGCACAGCTGCAGCCTCTTCATTTGTATTAATCAGGCCTGTTGATTAACTAAAAGCCTCAATTACAACTCAATCATCAAGTTGCAGATATTGGACTATAAAATGCACACTTATTGAGTTTTAGTTCCAGGCCAAGATTCAGTGAAAGCATTCATTTTTGCTGTAGCTTGTTTAGCTTAAGCTTAAAATTTGAGAGTCTCTGATATATACTTATGTATCTATATATATCTTCAGTTGAAAACATCAACTGAAATCCCTTTGTGACTAGTCTAAACGCTCTATATAGTACAACCAAGGTTTACTCATCTATTTTCGGCTTAAAAACTCATCCGAGACTCTCGGAAAAGCCCTTCCGATAGTCAACTCATTAGCTAATCAGCTGTGCATAATGATCATTATTGCCCTAAAAGTTTTCTCAGCTTGAGTTCTCCCACTGTCGGCTTCAGTCACTCGCTAAGCTCTAGCGCTCGCACTACGCAAAATAGGTCCACCCTAACACACGCCACGGCCCTTATAATTTATACTATGCAATATTTTATGCATTCTTATATTATAGATTTAAGTGCACACGTATTAAGGCCGTTAGGAGAGCATTATGAAAGTGCGGCTCTATTAAAATGCGTTGTTTTCTTCTTCTTCTTGCTCCTCTTGTTGTTGTTGTTGTTGTTGCTGTTTGTGCCATAAGCTTTTTGCATTGCGCAAGCGAAACAAAATGGCGGCCCCAAGTGCCAATGTTTAATGCGAATTCAAACTTAACGATCCCGCCAAATGTTTTCATAAACGACCAGACGCGATTTATGTACTATATACACACATACACATATACATATACATATACTCTATATATCGCCACGCGAGCTGGCAACTCATTAAGCTGCCGTTCACTGTCTCTGCCGGCCATCAAAGTCGATTACCTAGAAAATGCCCTAAAATGCCGCAATGCCAATCGATTCAGTTGAGTTGAGCTGAGAACTCTGAACTCCGCACACATGGATACGCCGGACTGGCCGGAAGGTCGAAAAGTCGCTAGCTCCTCTGGTACAGTCAGATTTTCGACGTAACGATTCATTGTCAAATTACATTAACAGCCCGGGCACATAGGGTGTCTGTATTTTGACAGCTGCTTTTGGCTATTGACATTCGCTTCTTGGCACACACACACACACACATAGATAGAGAGAGAGAGATACACACACACACACACACACACACAGTCAATGTAAGCACACAATGCAACGTTATGGTCAGCTCTATGACAGCTACGGCGCAGTACTTAGTCCATCTTCCTTTTACGGCAGAGGCGACCATCGACTCGACAGTACTCCTATCCCATCCTATCCCCATCTCGGCCGGACTGGCGTGGGCTTGTCTATGCTCATAAACGGCATGTTTAGTGGCCAATGAGCTGCGTTTTTATGGCATTCACACCCAGAGAGAGGGAGAGAGAGGGAGAGAGAGAGAGCGAGCGAGGCAGAGAAGGCGTGGGCGAGGCCTTTGGCTATTGGAGTGTGTGTCAAAGTTAATTTTCGGCACAGTCTTTATGAAGTGCTACACATTTTGCGTATGGGACAGCTGTTGAGTGGTGCTGCTGCTGCTGTTGCTGATGTTGCTGCTGCTGTTGCTGATGTTGCTTGTAGCAACTGACAGCACTGCCACAAAGCAGTTGAACACATTGGGCTAGAGCTAGTGCGAAACTATAAATAGTTGCTTATTTAACATCCCAAAATTTTTATCTAAAATCGATTGACACACTCCTAGAGAGTATAATCTTTTCGTACTCCTTTCGGCTTTCTAAAATGAATTGAAAGAATATAATAATAGTAGCTCATTGAATAGTTTCTATGTTCGGCTCTTAGAGTTAAAGATTGTTAGTACGTGAGACATAAATTTGGAGCGAACTTGTTAGAAACTTGCTGCTTCAAGGTTTTTTCGAAACTCAAATTTATTCCAAAATCCAACATTTTCGAGCTTTCCATTCACTATACATAGCTCTGATGAGAAGCTTAACTTTACTAGAATAAACACTTGGCAAAGAAATAAATAAATAAATAAAATTCCTAGAACTCCGCTTCCGCTAAAAATTTCATCAACATCGAATCGAAAAGCTTTTGGACATGAGGTTGCCTATAAATTTGTCATATGATATCAAGAAGTAAGCATAGCATTGGAATATGGTGTACATATTGTATATAGATTGCAATGATAGAATATGCAATAAACATATCCGGTTTACATATTGTATATACACTACAATAATAGAGTTTACAATAAACATATCCGGAAGGTTGTCGAACTGGAACTTGTTACAGTGAGAAGCTAAGCAACAATTTCTGACAACAAATATCTAACAGACTCTCAACTAACCTATATTAAAATTCCTAGTTGCCGATAATTTGAGTGAATAACATCCGAAAAGGTGTCGAATTGGTCGTCGACACACATAATAAAATAATCAGAGGCTAGGTACTCAAATTCCGAGTACTACCGCTTGAAAATATAATCAGAAATAAATAAAATATAATATTAATAATAGATTATCTAATCAACTCTTATCTAATCAACTTTTAATTGATTGTAATTTGATCTTTGCACACGAATCCCTAGAGCTTACCCTAAAGATCTGTTCAAGTCTAATCGATATCGAACTAGAAAATACTCCAATTGCAACTCCA